CTTTCTTGTATTTATTCTTCATCAGGTTTAATGCTTTGTACTTTCTTGTGTTTGTTCTTCACTGGGAATAGTGCTTTGGACTTTCTCTCTTTTTTTGTATCACTAGGTTTGATGCTTTGAACTTTCTTGTATTTGTTCTTCTCTGATAATGGAGCTTTGGACTTTCTCTCTTTTATTATATTTGTTCTTTGCCAGGTTAGGTGCTTTGAACTTTCTTGTATTTATTCTTAGCCAGGTTTGGTGCTTTAGACTTTTTTGTATTTGTTCTTTACCAGGAATAGTACTTTGAACTTGACTATAGTGATAAGTAACTTTCTTTGTTGTTTTCCATTTCAATGCTTTGAATTAACTTTTTTTTTTTGTAAGTTCTTCGCCAAGTTTAGTGATTTGAACTTTCTTGTGTTTGTTTTTTGCTAGGTTTAGTGTTTTGGTCATTCTTGTATTTATTCTTCACCAGATTTGATGCTTTAGACTTTTTGTGTTTGTTCTTCACCAGGTTTGGTGCTTTAGACTTTGTTGTATTTGTTCTTCGCTAAGAATAGTGCTTTGAATTTGACTATAGTGATAAATAACTTTCTTTGTTGTTTTCTATTTCAATGCTTTGAACTAACTTCTTTTTTTTGTAGGTTCTTCACTGGGTTTGGTAATTTGAACTTTCTTTCCTTTCTTGTATTTGTTCTTCTTCAGATTTGGTGATTTTGACTTTCTCTTCTTTCTTGTGATTGTACTTCGCTGGGAATAGTAATTTGAACTTTGTGTAATGATAAGTAGCTTCTATTATATTGCTTTTTATTTTCAATTCTTTCAACTAATATTTATTTTTTTTTTGATAGATTTGTTTTTCAGGATTAGTAGATAGTTAAATTTGTTATGAAGAACACAGGATAAGGAATTATATAATATGATATAGATTAAAAATAATAAATAAGTACTTTGTATAATTTTACTTCAAATAAATAACAGATTAAATAGTATGATTTTTAATTATATGAGTTAATAAAGTACGTAGTACCTAATTTAATTTTTATTTATTAAATATACAATGCATTGTACTGTATAATCTTTATATCATATGATCTATTATTTGATTTTGGATGTACATATGTACGTATCATTCAAGCGATACTAAAATTGTTCATTTGATCATTCGATTACAAGATATCTTTATTTAATAAAGATAATAATATCTTGATAGAATTAATAGATTTTATATTTTTGAATTGAATATAACAAAATCATTCAATTTTGTTTATTTAATTAAAGATATTGTTAGTTTCTAGTTTCTAATTTTAAAAATATAAAAAGAATCTAATTTTCATTTTGTAAAAGATAAGATTCGATCTTTGAGCTCTTATTTCTCAAATAAATATATATTACTTATTATTTTTTTTATTATAATGGATGAAATTTGTGAAATTGTACCTTCTTAAAAAGGAATGGATAAAATAAATGTTTGTAGTTTTTTATGGTAAAAGACAAGTATCGTGAGGATACATACTATTAGTATTGTGAAAAAAGAAGGTCATTTCAATGTAATAGTCGAGCTATAACAAAATTTATAAATAATTTACATTACCTTAAAGACTTCAGTGATCATAATCACTCTCCATAAGCAAGTAAC